ATATATAAGAGTCCATATTTAGTTAGTTCCTTCTGATCACTAAATTAATTCTAAATTAATTATTGATCAATACTAATTAAATAATATGATTTCATATTAATATATTAGAACTTATAATATATTAATATAAATCTTAAACATACTATTCTTAACAGACTATCCATATAAATTCTTCTGGTGAAGTGCAACCCAAATGGACCATGCCAAATCGGGTCAAGTACATACCAATTATAGTTATGGGCTTAGATACTAATCTAACAATGATAAGGGTAAAGCGACTGTGGATGATGTGCCTATTGTTTGGGATTATCCGGGTGTTTTTTTTAGAGGATTTGCCTAGGGTGCCTATGGGAGGCAGGTTGAGTTTGGGATTGATCTGGTTCTAGGTGCGGCTCCGATAGCCAAAGCACCGTATTGGTTGGCTCCTCCCGAGATGCAGGAGTTGTCTACATGGCTGTAGGAGTTGTTAGACAAGGGATTCATTCGGCCGAGCAGTTCGACATGGGGAGCATCGATCTTGTTTGTGAAGAAGAAGGATGGGTCTCATCTTATGTGTATTGATTACCGGGAGCTGAATAAGGTAAGGGTGAAGAACCATTATCCACTCCCGAGGATTGATAATCTGTTTGACCAGCTTCAGGGGGAATCTTGGTTTTCCAAACTGATCTACACTCAGGTTATCATCAGATGAGGGTTAAAGATGAGGATGTGCAGAAGACAAATTTGGACTCGTTATGGTCATTACGAGTTCATGGTGATGCCTTTTGGGCTCACCAATGCTCCAGCCACGTTCATGGATCTCATGAACCGCGTGTGCAGGCTGATGCTAGATCGGTCTGTGATTGCTGTCAATGATGATATTTTGGTCTATCCAAGACCTAGGAGTAGCATGAGGAGCACAAGAGGGAAGTGTTGGATTCTTTGACGAGGGAGAGACTTTTCGCATATTTCTCTAAGTGTGAGTTTTGTTGTGCGAGGTGTAGTTTCTGGGGCACCTTGTCAACCAGAATGGTATTCTAGTCGATCCGGCCAAGGTCGAGGTCGTGATGCGGTGGGAGGTTCTGAGGTCTCCATCTAAGATTTGGATTTTCCTTGGTCTAGCAAGTTATTATCAGAGGTTTATCCTGGATTTCTCCAAGATAGTTGTTCCTTTGACATGTTTGACGAAGAAGACGGTTACATTTCGGTGGGGGCCTGAGCAGCAGGAAACTTTTGTGAGCTTGAGACAGCGGGTGTGCGAGGCATCGATTTTGACCCTACCGAAGGGTGTTGAGGATTTTGTGGTTTATTGTGATGTGTCGATCACAAGTTTGGGGGCAGTGTTCATGCAGAGGGGTAGCGTGATTACTTATGCTTTGAGGCAGCTGAAGCCTCATGAAGTGTATTATCCGACGCATGATTTGGAGTTGGGGGCTGTGGTTTTTTCCCTCAATATTTGGCGACATTAGCTTTATGGGTCCATTGTACTATTTACAGGGACCATAAGAGCTTGAGGTATCATATGGATCAGTCAAATCTGAATATGAGGAAATGACGATGGTTGGATGTGGTAAAGGATTATGATTGTGAGATTGTTTATCACCTAAGAAAGGCCAATGTGGTGGTCGATGCTCTCAACTGCAAGGCGGTCGCGGCTCCGATTAGGGATATTGTTGGGTTTTAAGTACTATAAAACTCCTATGGTGGACATACAACCCTAAATATTTGGATCAAAGTTTTATCTAATTATACATGCAATATTCATTTCCAAAGCATGAAATCTAACACTAGCATACAACGTTGATATTTAAAAACATAAAAAACTAGTTAAATATTACCTCTTTGTTGTAGCTTGTAGAACTTAGCCTTTCAAGAGCTTAGCACCACAAGTGTGATGCCTCAAACAAGTCATAAACACCATGAACAAGTGGAGGATAATGAGAGAGAAGTTGTGGAGCTGAAAATCAACTACGCAATAACCTTGGAGTACTAAACCTTAATTCACTTGGGCTTTAAATCCATTAACTCATTGGCCTTATGACTAACTCTTCATGGACTCTCACAAAGATCTAGTCCAATCCTAATAAACATGGTGATGGGTTTTGGCCATAAGAACATCCTATGTGCTCATACAAACCCTAATGCTTGGATCTAGGTTTCTCTATTGTACATGCAAGTTATCCAAGACTATAAACCCTAGATCTAGCATATGATAATCAATATAACATATAATTCGGGTTTAGATTATACCTTGATTGTTATGTAGCAATAACAATCCCAATTCCTCCTTGTATTGACTTTAGAAAGCTTAGAGTCACAAATGTCACTCCTCTAATGGTTCACAAACACCAAGAGCAAAAGGATGAAGATGAGAGAGGAAGGAGGCTGCCCTAAAACGTGTGAAACCCTAGAAGGATGCTTAGCCACGTTTTTGGGTCATAAGGGATATGTGTGTATATATATATATATATATATATATATATATATATATATATATATATATATATAGGAGGCTATTAGGGTTATCTAACAAGGAAACCCTAAATTGGATGCTTAAGCCTAAGCAACCCATGGACTCCTTTCCTTAAGGCCTTGGACGATTTCCAATGGGTTTCCCCATAGAATTTCTCCACCTTATAATATAAGGCAATCCATAGTCCAATTGCAATTATCTTATAATTACAATTCCAGCCCCTTAAGTTTAATTAATCTCTTTTAGTCACAAACTTAATTCTTGTTAATTCTTGACTAATATTAATTAAACAATATGATTTCCCCTTGAATATATTATTCTCATAATATATTAATAAATCATATTTAATCCTTTCTCTCCATAATTCATCCTATCAAGTTGCTTTGGTGAAGGCAACCAAAAAGGACCATGCACCATCGAGTCAATTACATACCAAAATAGTTATGGACTTAGACACTAATCCAACAGTCTCCCACTTGGATAAGTCTAATAACTATTATGCGTATGACTTCAAATCTTGATCTGCAATTGTAGCTTTCCAAAGCCGCTGTCAACTCTGATCCTATCAGATACGTGTGTCCTTTAGATAAGGGATCATATATTCCTCCATTCTAGATATCGTATGAGATATGATTTCAAATCATTCTCTTTGTACTATTTCTCGACTTCCGATTTATGACAACTGACTAATTGAAAAAATTAAATTAGCCCTAGCCCGGCCGAGCATTTACGTTTGTCATCACTAAATCATCGAGGGGCCCAAAGATATCACTTTTATCCTACTTGGGATAAAAGGAACGGATAAACTTTGATTCAATGCTCGCTTGCACTCACTCACCGAATCACACACACCAATATGTTTTATGACACCAAGTTACTAGTGCGTTTTCATATTATCAATGTGCAACCGATTAGCAAGATACAAATTACACATCTCGGTTTCAAGAATATAAGATGTTATCGTCTTGCCAATCACTCGTGATACAATCCATGGAGTGATCCAAGTGAGCGTGGTTTTGATCCAATGCTCAAATTCATATTCATAAGCACTCATGAACGTTGCAGCAAACATTTTCTTATGTCTAATACTCTTTTAGATATTCCACACACCAATTCATGACAGTCTTCATTCATACCTACTTCCAATATATGAACGACTGTGGCCCGTTCGAATAATTTGACTGTTCTTAACCAATTAAATTATTCAGGAAGTCAAAACATGCAAAGTGAAATACAAGAAAAATACTAATCCCGTATGGCCTCAAACCTTTGAGCATAAATAAAACACCTTTTATTTATCACCATATCGATTACTCATTATTTGTCCTTTCGGGTAATCATCTTCTTACTTGAATTATTACACTTGTCCCATGCTCTTAGCATGCACACAATGTTTACCTATGGTTCTTACTTTGTGAAATAGATCAAATTGAACATATTTCCAATCATTCTTATTTCACAACTCCTAATCCATTTTATAAATGTAAGAATATCAATTCTTGCCACTTATAGAATATGCTAGATTCTAACATTTTATGCAACGATCCTTTTGTAATGTCACTGCACCAAAGTCACAAAGACTATTGCCAATGATATTACAAAGTCCTCTATCGGAGATTGTTACAATACAATTCCATAGATATGATGTCTCTCACTCAAGGTACATTCCTTTAAACATCCTTTTGCATAAAAGTTTCTAATCTAGACATAGATTTTCAATATTCAATTCCCAATATGGAAAACTTTCCATACTTACCATCTGACAACTCATTCTCAATAGAATCTTAACTATTCAAAATAATGTCGATATGGTCCATCCAATATCATGCTTCCAACTACTCACATCGACCAATCCTCGGCGAACTTTGGATTGTCCTTTGATAGTTGTCTAATTATCTTAGTCAAAACCGATTCTTGTCCTTTTTTGCCTCTAAATGCGTTAGGCATTTGGAAAATCACTACTAGAAAAAAAGCCTTTTACGACGCACAATGCGTGTCGTAAAACGCTCAGACGACGCGCAAATGCGTGTCAAGGAAAGCCCTGTCATAAAGAGAGACGACACGCTTTTGCGTGTCGTCTATAGACGATGCAAATTTATGACACGCATTTACGACGCCCATTTACGACACACAATGCGTATCAAGGAAGGCCCTGTCATAAAGGAAGACGACACGCATTTGCGTGTCGTAACCTTACGACACACGTTTAGGACACGCATTGCGTATCATTATAGCCTCTGTCATAAATGAAGATGACACGCATTTGCGTGTCATAAACTTCAGCAACCATTTACAATATGCATATACGACGTGCCTTTACGATACTCTTTTACGCATAATAAAAAAAATATAGAAAAAAATATATAACAAAACAATCAATTTCATCCAATAACATCATGTCAAAAAATTGTAATACATTGATATTAAAGGGATCTTATTGTACATTGTTATTAAGGGGTTTTCCTTAACTATATAACCTAATACTACATTCCTATAAATAGGCACCTTCTTGTTTCAGTAACTCATCATTAAGATGTCTAAAGAAGCTCTAAAACCCTTCATATATCCAACAAATCATCATGTCTCTTAGCTTCAATATCAATCCCAACTCTTGATAAATAACAACACGGAAATCCTACACAATAATCATGTCAGTTGTACAATATCAATGTCAACTAATTAATAATACACATGGTATGTATAAGAGTGGAATCAAAATGATCTACCGATAAGAGTTTTATATTCTCTTGAATCAAAGTATTTTTGGTGGCCTCTACGGCAGCTCTCAAAGGATACTCCTTGCCTGTGCCATCTTTCTTTTGAATTTGCAGGAGAGTGTCTAGCAGTTCAAATCAGAAAAGATGGTGCACTTAGATATTGTTATAGAGATATAAAGATTCATTGTGTACCTCAGTAAGCTCAGCGTCTTTTCCGGTTCTCTTATATTCCATGCAACACTCATATGCTTCCAATAGCTCATGATGATATGTCTAAAATTTTATCACGACACCAATTAGTATAATATTTTGAAAACATGTGAATTTTGAAACAATGGCACCTTCTTCAAGCATTTCATGCAATGGTTCTTAAACCTTAAGCACTCCTTCAATATTATGTTCACCAAAATACAACCGACACAAATTGTGCCTTCACGTAAATCAAATCTAGCTGTCAGCTAAAAACCCTAAACCCCTATACATGGGAAAATGAAAAAAAAAACCTTACTTGCGAGAATCACAGTTGTAGCACTTGATGTGTTGTCGATTCTTGTAAAGTATGTAGTCTTTATTGGAGCTATTTGGATGGAAGGTCAAGTCATAGTAAGAGGCATTCACAGCAGGGTAGCCATACCTATACATAAATACAACATTTTGACTAGTCAACACTCAACATGAACGGATTTTCATTCAAACAGTCATGTGTAAAAGACATGGATACCCTTTGTATCTTAATCATTAAGAATGTAGCTTTATAAGTTTAGTCCAGCCTTGTGAACTATCAAGGGGGTTTCATAAAACTTTCGAAATTGTATATATTCTCACAAAATCTGACCAAAATGGCAGCTGCATTGTAAAATGACGGATTTCTATTCTCAAGGGTATCTTTGTCATTTTTGACAAATTTCTGACAATGGTGCTGAAAAATGGTAAAATGACCCTTATGTCTGTAGTTTGATTTCAATTTGTAAAAACCATCAAGTAACGTTAATCTAAAGTTCAGGGGTATGTTCGTCATTTTCGCCATTTTTGATGGATTTTAGACAAAAATGCCATTGAAAAATGGTAAAATGACCATTACACACTTCACTTAGATTTCAAAATGACCATTAGACAAAATGCCATTCAGAGGCATTTTCGTCATTGACCATTTTGAATAGATTTCTGATCAAAATGTTGTGGAAAATGCTAAAATGATTGTTATGCACTTCACTTAGATTTCAAAATTGTAAAAACATAAAGTGAAACTGATTAAAAAGTTCAGGGGTATTTTCATCATTTTCGCCGGATTTGGTGAAACTAAGACGAAATGGAGAGTTGGATGACCCTTGTGACTATTTTTATTAATAATTTGGTGTTGTATTTGGAACTTTGGCCAGCATACACAGATGGTGGTCTACAACAATCGGCTACAATGGGAGTTAATTTTGCCAATTCATACTGTTTAAGAGTTTGCAAATTAAAAAAAAAAAACAATTATCATCACATTCATGAAACAAATCCACAAAGTTAAACCAATCAAATGCAAATTTAACAAACCCATTAGTATATCATTTTAATTTTTTGTATAAATGGATTTGATCCTGTTACTGTAATACCTCAACCAAGCATCATCATAAACTAGTATTTGATAGGAACAACCCGTTGCATATTGATATCTGGGAAATGGTGAAACCCCAGGAGCAATTGCCAATTCCCATCGACTGCATATTCCAAGTCCTTAAGCACTAGCCAGAGGCTGCAAATATGATGATATAAAGCAAATCATATATTTATATTAAAGACTTTATAGTGAAAGATAGCATTCCTATGACCCTGCAGAATGATATTAAGGGTTCTTGTCATAAGTCATCGTTGATCATGCTGTAAAGCTCATAAACAATTTTGGTACATCAGATGCTTGCACTCAATCAATGATCAAATTTATATTCAGCGAGTGAAATATTACCATGAACTGGATTAGAGGATTTAGAGAAAGTAAAATCAAAAAGGTTAAAATGATCTCCAACTTCAGTCTGGTCATAGTATGCTTGGAAATATTTCTCAAACTCATCTCCAAGATCCTGAAACAATTAATTTATTACATAAATAATCCATGGGAATATTATGAAACAAACTTTATTTGTACCTCAACAGAAAAGCCTTCACCCGCAACCATGGAAATCCCATCAACTGTTTACACCGAAACCCTTCAACCGTTTCACATTTCCAAGTAGCACGTATGACGGAAATTCACGATCAATCGTGCTAGCACTGACAGTAAGGATCCACGGGGCAACATTGGTCGCTGTGCTTGGCAAAAAACTGTTCCCAGCAGACGTGCATACAACAATCCCTTTCTCAAAATCATGAAATGATCCAATTGAAATCACATCCTCAAAGTAATCCGGTTGAGGTGGAAATGGACCAAGAGACAGACAAAATAACATTTGTTTCTATTAGAAATGAACTTTATGTGGTTATTATAGTTTTTTAATTAACAAATACGTACCAGTGTCAATGATACCAACAATTACATCTGATTTTATATCCATAGGAAGCTTGTTATATTGTGGAATAGAATCTACTCCTAGAATTCTCCATGACTTAGTTGTATGCAGTTGATTCATTCTGCTCTCAAATACTGAATTAACAGCTTCATTTTCTGTGATACAAATGGAATTGTAAATTGTTCAGACTACTGTTAACGATCAAATGATCGAGTAAAAATACAAAAGATAAACAGTCAGAGATAGTCTAGTTCCTTTAGACAGTCTTTTTAATTTCCGAGATCTATTACGACTTTAATCTATACACATTATATAACAAACGAATGTATATGTTCTTGCCTTTCAAGAACCAACGTGAGCATCTCATGGTTAGCTGAGATGATAGACTGTGTGCTCGGGTGTGAATTTTTTCCCATGTAGACTATGTAATGTTATAGATGAAGAAATACATTTGTTAACCACAAGATTTTTTTTTTGTGAGAGATTATCGCTAAAACAGGTTCTTTTTGTTAAAGAAACTCTAATTCTCTTGCAAATATGATACTGTAATGTCCCTTCGTAACGTAACCCTGTAGAATAAATATTTCAAGATAGAACATGTTACCTTTCTATCATCGGCTCCATAGCCTAATGCAAGAGTAAATATTAACTATAAAACAAATAAAATGGGAGGAGAAACCCAAAAATGTATTAAGATTGGGGAAAATGTCACCAACAATACTCAAGTTTACCAAAAAGATGCTTTTGAGATAGCAACAACAGTATTCATAGTATCTTTCAAAACCCATATCTGGAAACCATTTAAGGCATTTAATAATAGAAGTTACAATTGTACTTGTTGAAATATGAAGGACCTGTTTGTATATATTGATAGTTAGTTAGTTTGACTCTGTTTCCTCTTGTATATAAAGAATCTGTAACCTTTCATTTTAGTTTGAGAAATTCATTTCATTCATTAAAAGTGTAACACCATAGGCAAAAATAGTTCCGGTAATTGGAACAGATTATGTCAAGATTAGAAAAATCAAAAAGATACAAAAATTGTGCAAGTTACATGAAATGAAGAGAAATAATACCATTAACGCCTTCCATTGCACCACTAACAACATGTTGAGCTGCAATATAATATACATGATGTGTTGTGGTTGTAGGCCCAAACACCCGATCTATGTACAAATTATAAATCAGAAAATGAGATTTACAAGGTATATCAGTATGAAGTATGAACCTCAAAAGCAGAACTTCATGTTTAAGAGTATAATCCTAAAGTTACAAATTGTTGACCTTGTTAAGTTAACTATAGTTAATCATGTGAAAACCATTAAGATGGTTGCTTGATTCTTATATGTGTTTGGGTACAAAAAGAAGACAATTGAAAATTTGGGATATCTGTCCCCTTCAATAATAGAATTTAACAAACATTGTGTTTGAAACAAGAAAAAACCAATAAATCAGTTTATCAGTTTATCAGTTTATCAGTGAGTAATTGATTAACTAGTTGCTCCAGTCTCCTATACAATGATATCAAAGAACACTAGAGCATTGGAAATAAAGGATCCAAAGGTCTAAAATGTTAATTATTGTAGAGTTGGTTCTGTTTTACCTAATTTTCTTAAGCTCTGATTTAGAACATGACTCTTGATCATCAATAGAATCAATTCAAAAACATTAATTAGTAGCCTATCCATAATCGGGACATACCATATGCATAAGCTATTGATGGAGTCTCTTCATTCCGTCGAATAGTTTCGCCATCCGCATACCACGCAATCTCCTCCCCTCGTCGAATTTCCCTTGGACTAATCCTCAAAAAGTTATTTTACATCCAAATTAACCGCAATAAATACAGTAAACCATAAATTTGTACAATGATTTGATCACCTGAGAGGCCGGAACCAAATAGTAACAGTGACATTCTCCTTCGATCTCTCAGAAACCAATGGCAAACTCTCAGAATAAAGTACTACGACTTGCTTCTAGCAGATGAAGCCGGAGAGCTCAGATTATCAACAGAAGCCTCCGAAAAATGTTTCGAAGATGAAGTAGTTGAATAGGATGGCGAATTCTCATATTTGAAGTCGATTTCCTCGGTTTCAATGTACCTTGCGTCGACGGCATTGTGGAATTCAACTGGAACCTAGTACAATCAAATCAGTAATCACATAAATGCAATCTCCTTCTCTTCTTTCAATGAACCGTATTTACAATTGAACTGGATCCGAGGAAGAAGAATAAGACAAAGACGAAGGGAAAGGTGAATGTGATAGATTGAGAGTGTAGAAGATTGTGGGCTTTCAAGTGTGGAGTTTGTGGTTGCATTGGAAGCGATGAGCTTCCATGAATGGTTGGCAAATGAAACCGCACCTTTTCCAATCTTTACATGGGAAGAAGAAGCTTTTGGATTAAAAGAAAGCTAAAATTAAAGGGTCGGTGGGTTTGCTAAAATTAGGGATAGAGAAAATAAATAAGGATTCAAAATAACATACATCTAGGGAAGGAAGATGTGAAAGCATAAAAGGCAAGACCTAGGGTTCTGGTGGGTTTGCTAAAATTAAAGGGCCGGATTGAGTGAATGAAGGTGAAGTGTGGATTGCGTTTTCAATGTTCAATGGCGATGGTGGCAGTGGCGATCGCTTAGGGTTTAGCGAGAATGAAGGGAGATACTGAGGAGAAAGGGTGGATGCGGGGTTCTTCAAAATTTTAAAATTTTAGACAATTTCGTTTCCCCCCTTTAAAAACGCGCTTTTAAGCAAAAAAAAAATATAAAGCGACATTTGAAAAGGACACACACTTAAGATAAGCGCCCTCCGTGTTTGTATTTTTTTTCTTTTCTGACACTAATTTAAGGGCACGCATAAATGTGCGCCCTCTATCCTTCAAATTTTAGAAGAGATGACATTATTTTTTGGGCGCACGCTTTAGCGTATCGTAAATCACTGTGTTTCATTGTTTGCGCGTCGTAAAAGGCTGTTTTTCTAGTAGTGAATTTTAGAATGGTCAAATGTTATAGGATTTGCAATCGATCCTATACCCGAAGCGTATGGGACACGATGCATAATGCCATACATAAAGATATGATACTTTATCAATCTTCTGCCATAATATTTTATTTGCTATGTTCTCAAAATTCAAACTATGAAGAGGAATGACGTAATCATAGTAAAAAATAGAGAACACACTATGTACCTTTGGCTGAATTTATTAACATTCCACAACCTAAGCCTTTAGATTTGAAATAAAGCATAATATTCTCTCCCTTAATTATAGCAAAACAACTTTACAACCCTTACTACTTTGCAAGGTATAACTCTTGTTTTCTATAATTAATATTGCCAACTTGCAATACATGCCTTAATAATCATACAATCATAACATTTATGCTCCCACTATCATGATGATTATTATAAAACATAACACTTATGCTCCCACTAGCAATACGTGCCTTAATAACCGTTACTACTTCGACATGTATTCATAAACATCTTAACTTTCAGAAAAACAATACTTATTGAATTTCTTAAGTTCATGTTTCTAATACTTAGTGCTTTGATAATCTTTTATCATGCCTTCTTATACACTTTTGCCTTAGATAGTTCATATGTGTGTCTAAACAATTAAGACTAATTGCCAAATCTCACAATTCAAATTATGGAAAGGGATACCGTAACCATAATCGAATTTGAGAATGCAATTTTATAATCACTATCTTCTTAAAATCTTTCTTAGTGAAAGCATTTCCTCACAGTCATTTTCATGAAGGAGGAAATCTTATGACACTTAGATTTAAATGGTGTATGTGTTCCTATCCATGTGAATTTTTTAAAACCAAAGTTTACGACAAATTCAAACTCATACAGACCGAATTTTCTTAATCTTGATTTCTTGCCTTATGGTAGCACATTTGCCCACCATGTCTTCCAAGTAGTTAAGCAGCTCACCCTTTCCTATCAATGTACCTTTCATTGATTAAGGTGCCTTGCCTTTTATGCGTTCAAAATGAGAACTCATAGAACTCACATGCATAATTAACTCAATTGGAACAGCACAGAACCAAAATAATGTCAACACGATAGGTTGTAAACCTCAACTCGTGTGCTAGTGATGATCGATAAGGTTTATCTGATTTGTTCTTGAAACCTTTCAAGACCATTAAGACTCCTACTGACTCCTTGACATATAAGATTCTCTTGTCAATAACCATTTCTTGACAAACAAATATTCAAGAGTTAGTGTAGCTTTTATCAAAACACTTCATAAATTGGTCCTAGTTGGTCTTTGTCTTATCCAAGACATCACAACTTTCCACATTTGATGAATGTTATAAACTTTCTTAATACTTTTTCACTCAATGTCACAATCTTAACTTTAGGACTTGTTATTGGAATGAAGTATGATTGACTTTTTGATTTAACCATTTCTTCAATTCTTGATTCCTCTTCTTAAACATACAATTGTACTAAGACTCACTTAGAGGATCAATTGAGATATGGTTCTTAATCATTAAGACCTATCATAAAGCATAAAAGTTACTCTCCCTTCTTCTTAGAATGGAGAAACTTTTATCTTTCTGCCTACATGAGTCTTCTTATTCGTTTTGCTATTGATTTAAACCTTTTTAATCAATTCCGAATTACGCTTAATCTTATAAGTATAATCATATTTACTAAACTTTTAGTAAACCAGGACGAATATCTTGTTACTCTTATGGTGGACTTTGACCAACACACAACTTTGTGTACTCGATCTCCTAATCCTTCACTTGACACTTTGTCAATGAATTAGTCTAATTTCCAAATATGAAATTTCTCATTCTTTGTGCACCCAAGTTGCATGATTCCAAATTTCTATCCAATTGAAACTTGGGCGATGAGAAACTCTCCGTATTTGGTAAATTCTCGACTTTTCCATAAACACCGTAAATAAGAATCATATCCATTTGT